AAGGAGAGAGAGTGTGGAAGGTGAGATTCCAGGGAGAGGGAAACCTCCTCTTAAGTGCGGACAGAGAAAAAGAGAGGAAGAGGGACCACAGCTGCTGCCTCAGCAGCCACAGTGTCAGAGAAAAACCCTCCTTCTTATGTTTGCATATGCACATTTTTGCATCTGCTAATGAACCACATTTTTCTTCATTTCCAGAGCCAAAAGATTGTTAATTCCTAAAGTCTGTTGTTACCTATTTCTTCCTGGCTGTCCAGTGTGCAATTTCAAACATGCATTTGTTTACGAAGGTTAGTTTCTTGTTACACAGCAGAAATATTTGTGTTAAATCTACTCCATAAAGGCCCCAAAAATGTCAAAAATGTTCTGGAAGCAGAAAAGAAATAGTTATGAGGAAGGAAAGGAGACACTGCAGGAAAACTCATTTGCTGAGAAATGCAGCTTATGTCTTATCAACTTAATTCCAGATAAGTCTCCATTTTGCTGTGAAGACAGATGCGATAAATATGTTAATGGTAGATTTTGATAGTTCAGTTTGTAGAACTGCAAAGCCAGATGGAAGTGATAATTTTTCTTTCATTTTAATTTTGAAATAAAAAGCAAGAAAGCAAGAAAGTTCCTGATATCATAACACTGTAATGACTTTTGGAAGGATAATGGACCCTAGCACAAAATGACGATTAACTATCATGCCCTGATACTCCTATTTTATTAAAATCCAGTTTCCCTGGCTAGAATTCTCTCCTACCAGAGAGCAGATTACTGCCTGAAACTGACTTTTCCAGTACCACATTCATAAAGGTATTTAGGAACAATCCAGCTGCTGAGTATTTTACTGATTCTATTGTTGCTCAGGTAAGATACATGACTAAACATACCATTGAAAATAACATTGGATGGAGCTAACGTCTCTTTATCAGGAGTGAAATATTGCCTTTTTTTGTCCCTTATGTAGTGCACTTAGTGCACTCAGGGTACTAGAAGTACTAGGACTAAACTGTGGCTTTTCATGCATTAAGATTGCATTTATCAAAATCTGGTGTGGGCTCTTCTTTGTTTCAGTTTAATACAAAAACATTGAGGGGCATATATTAGCACCTTCTTAAATCTGTAGGATATTTACAGCTTCAACTAATAGGCAAAGAGAAAGCCAGAAAACTTTTGCTGCTTGAATGGGAGGAAAACAGGTAGCAGGTAAAAAGAAATTTTAAAAAACAATTTTCAATGGAGTTGCTAAGTGAAAACTTGGTTTTGTTATATTCATAGTGGTGGTTGTAACTGTGGAGACAGAATAGACACATCTGTCTTGTTCCCTTTAAATGAATTTTCATTTCAACAAAGTGAGGCCCTGACTGGTTCCTCTCCAAGGAACTTCTCTCCAGGACCAATTTGGCAAGAAAGTGAGATGCTCCATTCTCAAATGGAGCATTAACTTCTAGGGTTTTGTTTGATCATTCTCACTTTCTAGATAAGCTAACAAATTAGGAACTGAATGACTTAAACCATTTAATTAAACATATCAGTTAGATCCCCTAGTGAACTTTATTCCAGCAAGGAAAATGTGGATTTCTGGTGAATGACTGCTTGTATCCCATATTTTACAATAAGACAAAGGGTACAAGTTGTTTTATCATCCTTGTCCTCAGTTGGGCCTGCTTGTAGGTAGAGGTGATATTGGTTATTGGATAGATATCTTCTATCCATACTAAATTGATATCTGCTATATGAGATCAGATTAATTTCATCATTCAGTACAAGCTGTTTTGTTTCATTTGTTTAGTTTAAACATATTTGCTTGTGGTTTGTTTATTCGATTAGCAAGTAATACAAAATTGCAAACATATGTGATCTGTATGTTTCTTACTCAAACAATGTTCGTATGAGAGAGAAAGGGAAAGTCTATGATGTACTGTGGAGGGCAGAGGAGAGATCTCCAGGCTCTGGAAGGGAAAGCTGTATCAGCAGGACCTGAGCCAACTTAATTACCACTGTGAAAAAACTCAGCAGAGTGCTTGGTTAATGCAGCTATATTATGTTTGAGAATTCATGTGTTATCTCTGGACTTTGCTGAACTGTGCAAACGTCCATTTCTCTGCAGCATTGCACCTTGCACACAAGTGCAGGCAGTTCTTACACTCATCTGAGGTTCCAGTCTGTGTTGGCTGCTAATCTCGTACAATTCAGTGACTAACATGACCAAAAGTACACAGTGAAGCATACAGTCCTGCTCCTGGCCCTAGGGTTCCCCTACCAAGGTCAGAGAACAGCAGGAAGAGACAGCTGGAGCCTCTCTGCCCTCATGGCCTTGCTCTGAGCTAAGAGGCAATCAGAGCACAAGCTGTAGCTAAAGGTGACCCACTCTGGCAGATTATCCTCAGGTATTGGCATAAAACAGACAGATCTTAGTCCTCTGAGGACTCATGCAGCAGCAGCACTAAATCCTGGAGCCAAGCAGAGCTTCCCAACTGGTGGGCAAGGAAGCCATTTACCACCCTCCAGCAAGCAGCCAGAGCTCCCCAAGCACCAGGCAGGGAGCTGCCTGCAGGAGGAGCACGGCAACTCATGCAGCACTAAAGCTTATTCCAGGCTGCCACCTTGTCAGGCTTAAGTTCAGCTCATTAGGACGCTCATCTGTTATTTATGTAAATAAGCCTATGCATAGTCACAAATATGCAAAGAGGGCTGTTTATCAGTTTGGCACAATTTCCAACTTCAGACATTCCTGATGCATGTAAAAGAAAATGTAGTCTCCCCTAATGCTGCAGAGGGGCCAAGGCAGAGCCTAGCTGCTACCATCCATGTCCTCTCGGAGGACTCATGGTGCTTGGGATAGAAAAGATAATGCATTCTGTGTGACTTTAAACGCAATATGTTACAGCTCAGGATGCTTAATCTAATGAATAAGGGATCTCTACTTGTTTCACTTTCTCAGGGAAGGAGATTTGCAAATCTGCATAATCTAAGCATTCTGATTGCACTTTATTATTTATTTATAACAAATATGTGACAAAAAAAAAAAGGTCTTCTGAAATAGTGTTTAAATTATCTCCTTCATCTGGACAGCTGCAGTCTAAGGTTGCTCTCGCTCATGAATGCACGAGGAGGAACCTCATATGCGAAGGAACCTCAGCTCATCTATCTCCTGCTCATTTTGCTCTCTCCTCACTTCAGGAAAATATCATCTTCTGCATGAACCTGATCTGGAAGCAGCATCCCCCTGCTTTGCTCCACACACAGCCATCACTAACTGCAGGAGGTCTAAGTTCTCCTGACAAGGGTAGAGGTCCACCAGAAATACAACTTCAGGGAATTTTTCCCCAGTTCTGTACTCCAGAACAGTACCAGGCCGATTGCTTGCCTGTTATCTCAGAGACCAGTTTCTCATGTATCCTGCCTCACCTAACAGGATGGCTTATTTAAGCTGCTGCAATGTTCATTGAACAAATTAATAGAAAAGAAGTTTCTGCACGAAAGATGGGAGAAAATGATATACCTTTTTATTGTATTACCCTTATCTGAGGGACCCCCTTATCCATTCACATCTCCTATGGTGTGTTGTAACCATCTTCCAGGATCTATGTGGAGCTTTCGACTTGCATGTAGTCTTGGAATTGGCATGAGGGGAGGAAAACCTCCAGCAGGCAGAGAGGTACTCACAAATGCTGCCCTTTCAGAGGGACTCCAACTGGACTTTAGTTTGATAGCAACAAAAAAACCCCCACTTTCTATGAACCCCTCAAAATATAACTACATGAGTTACATTGCTTTTAAAGCATAGCACAAACACAACCCGGAGACCTGAAAGTTTTTCCCTCTTCCTCTGTAGGGAATTTTTATTTGCACATGAGGTCAACTGCAACCTAAGTTAAATACCTCCTAGACAGTGTCTCTCATTAAAGCCCATCAACCAGCCTTTGATTCTTTCAATACAAGCAAGAAAATTGTGGTGGGTTAACCCCAGCCAGCAGCCAAACATTCATCCACATGCTTGCTCACTCCACCATGACATCAGGATGATGATCTCATCAGGAGAGAGAAGACTAAGAGTAAAAGCAAGAAAACTCGTGGGTTGAGATAAAGACTTTAATAAATTAAGGAAAGAGGAAAAAAACCCACAAAAACAGTGATGCAAAGGCAGTCACTCACCACCTCCCACAAGCAGACTGATGTCTGACCAGTCTCTGAGTTAGGCTAACTTCCTAGACCAATCACCCCCTCAGTTTTTATTTCTGAGCATAGCATTATATGCCATGGAATATCCCTTTGGTCATTGGGGTCAGCTGTCCCATCTATGTCCCCTCCCAACCTCTTGTCCAACCCCAGCCAACTTTCTGCGGGAAGCCCAGGAAACAGAGAAGGCCTTGACGCTGTGGGTGCACTGCTGTGCAATAGCCAAAAGATTGATGTTGTCAACCCTGATTAAGTGACAAATCCAAAACACAATGTGTTCCCTTAGGTTAAACATGAATAAAATTGTCCTAGAAGGGACACTTCTTTCTTAACATCAAGTGCTTCTAAAACGATTGCCTTTTTTTTCAATTCCCAAACCTATTTGCCACTTAGGTAAGTGCAAACAATGAATTCAAAAATTTCTATACAACCTGTCCTTATGGGAACTTGAACTTAATTCTGCCATTTCCAGCTGAGCAAAATTATCTTTACATCATGAAAACATACGCTTCCCCTTAATAAAGATTTAAATACAGGCACTTCAAGTCTCTCCCTTCAGTTCTACAGTGGTGCAGTAAAGGATTATCCATGCAAAACTATACAGCCAAGATTTCTGCTGTGAGCTGGCATGGTTCTGTTGTTTTTCATGGATCAATTAACACACACTGGAGATTTTAGCCATTCTTGTCTATAATGGCTAATTTGCCTATTACTGGGAGCTGAGAGACATCTGTGTGCATGCTGTAAGGATTCAACAGAGAAATGAAGACTTGAAACGCACAGAACATGACCTGTGATTATAAGACATTCAAAGACAAGCTGTGATACCTTACCTTTGGAGCCTGTAGTACATCAGACACATCTTGCTTAGTTACTGCAAAAGCAAGTTTGGGGGCAAGTGCTGTTGGCTTTTTGGGAGGCCTAGGTGGTGGATGAAGGGTTTGGTTTTCATATCTTCGCACCATATAGTATTGCTCTTCACTGATCTCTTCCACTGTTGTCTTAGTCACAGGTGGTACAACTACCTGGACATCTTTGCTGAGCAAATGGACCAACATGTTTAAGCGATATACGGGAATCTCCCAGCTCTCCACTGGATTGGTGGCACTACTGATCAGCAAGTAAGAGTCTGTGATTTCCTCTTCAAACTGCAGACCAGGCACTGCAGCCAAGACATCTTCCTCAATGGAAAGGTCCCTCATGGACACTTTGACATTAAAAGGCAAACGGAATTCTTTGCAAATCTCAGAAAGGTGGTACCGTTTCTTGTCATGAATCACTTCCACAAAGCTGCCTTCCATGTACATAGGGAGGAGCACTTTTTTATACGTATCACTTAGTATTTGCTCACAAGCTAAAACATCTACAAGTTTCTTTCTTCCCTCGTAAAGAATTTCACTAGTCTGGCACTGCTGAACTAGAAATTGATCTCCAACCGAAACAGAAAAAAACTCTCTATGAGGGGAAGCAAAGGCTTTAGTTGCTACAACATGAAGCTGTTCCTTTTCACTTCTTGCTATCTCTAAGTCATAGGCAGTTGGAAGCTCACGAGGTCTTCTCTTGAACTTTCCTTTGTAGCTCATAGGGATTAAAAAATGTCTTTTGGGAGAATCACTTCTGATCTCAGACGCTAGGACTCTTGCTGCCTGGTACTTTTTGTAGATGATAATCTCTTTCCCTGTAGACAATAAATTATAAGGGTTTTGACTTCCTGAAGGCCCTTCCATTATCTCAGCAACCATAGGAAATTCCATGCTTGTTCTCTCAAATACATCTTCCAAAGACAGTGGCTGAAGGAAAGAGCTAATATCATAACAGTCTGTTATATCCTTGACCTCAACATCTAGATCTGAGAGGATATGAACTATGTCCTTTCGAACTGCAAAGGAAAAGAAAATAAATACATTGGGGTTTGTTTTCAAACTGACATTGGAATAAAATACACATCCTGTTGGCCAGATACTAAAAGTACCTTCCCTGAGATGTGCTGCCCCATGTGTAAACATGCACCATGAATAAGGCCAGAAAGTCTAACCGTTGTAATTTGAGATATATGGTTATCAGATATGCATAAGACCACACAAAGGAAGAGAGAGAATAAGGTATATGAGTGAAAGAAAAGTTTAAGAAAGACGAATGGGAAAAATATCTAGTTCACTATTTTATCCACAGCACCTCCAAATGTAATCAGTTGTTTATCTTATCAAAGATATCTTTCTTGGGTACTATTTCTATTCTTTCATTTCATAGTAACTTATGGTTTCTATAAAGAAGTGAGTGGGAAAACATGCTTAATAAATAAATACATTTGAATCCTTTAGCACATGTTGTTGCTATGGCCATTCTGGGAGAAATAAGGTGTTTTGATATTTATAAGACTAATAAAAACATCTGTAATTACTAGGAAATAATATCACAAAAAAAAAAAAAAGAAGGCAAAACCTTTCTGTAACAAAGTCTAAGGTTATTGTTTACGAATTAGGACATTTTACTATAATGCTCCTCTGTGGAAATCTTTGTCTGCATCACCCGGTTTTATTCACTACCAGAACTGAGCCATTGAATTTAACCATCTGTCAGGGAACAACAGCACTTTTATCACAATTGAACTTGCAAAATTTTTAATGCAAAACTTCCAAGCATAAAGCTGACTATGAAATTAAGGCTTGTTTAAGAATTTGGCTCCAAATCAGTGACACCACAGATCTCTGACCAGAGCAGTAAAATTTAACAAGCAAATAATATTTAAGTACTTTCTTCAATAATACTTATTTTGCATAGACCTACACACATGGATAGTATACCCTGGGTTCACATTTCCTTGTAGCAGGACATACTGATATTTTATACTGCAAAGTTGGTATAAAGTGTATTTTATATGAGAGAGTTCTGTGGCAGTGATTCAGGACCTATTTGTTCCAACTTTGCTTTTGACACCTTCAGGTGACAAACACCCTAAGAACTTCAAGGGAAAGACAACAAAGGAGAAATGGCTAGTGAAAATGAAAGTTTTCTAGGAGCATTTGGGGGAGTTCCCCACACATAACTTGTTCATTATTAAGAATGAGAAGTATAGAGGATCCCTGCTCACAGCCTGTGAAAATGTAATCAGTTATCCCTCTTATCAGGAATCCTTTTTATTGAATAGTGGATAGTATTTCTCATACTTTATCTTGTGTCTATTTATAGTTCTTCTAAAAATGGTGAAAATCCATTTTTCATGGTCCACAAGAAAGTAGTTAATCATGTACCATGAAGCCTGCTCTTCAAGTTTGTATTAAACAGTTATTTAGGACACATTTCATGCTTCTTAAAGGTTGAGAACACTACGAAATATAAAATAAAAACAACAAATACAACTCTCACTGGAATAACTCATTGGAAGACAAGTGAATACCAAACATTCTGCATCTTCTTAAAGTTTTTAGGGACATTAAATTCCTATTGATTCTGCACAAATATTTAAATGGGTATAGAAACATACCTAAGTAAATGCAGCTTCAGGAGATGAGTTAGATTCCTGAATCTAGCTGGAGTTATAACAAATGGAGTACTTTATCTTGTGAAGTATGTTTTCCAAACTCACACATTAAATCACATAGCAAGTACATATGGTATGATAAGCATATAACTACAGTATAGTGTGTTAACAGTCTCTGCCCACTTTTATTTCTTTTTCTTTTATCCATTTTCTTACATCATTCAACAGAGAAAGCTCAATTATGAAAAGATTCCCTACTTAATATCCTCACGAATGACATATTTCTGTTAGGATTTAATTTCTACGCAGCTCACTAGTTTGGTTCTAGTAAATACAACAGGCAGCAAAACCCTTCCAAAAGCTAAGCTACTATCCTGCAATTAGAACTCAGCTGTTTCAATGTTTTGGTGGAACAACTAGAACAGTGTTAATGTGCCATGGATATTTTTGGGTTTTTTAAATAAAAACTCATAACACAAATTACAGCTTTTAAATATATTGGGTTTGTAATCTTTCTGTTTCCTCAAACCTAGAGGTTTCAGAAATTGTCCATGAGTTTCTTCTGTTTATATTCTATTGATATTTGTTTCCGCAATAAAGTAAAGTAATATGATTTTTCTTTCTGTGGCATCCTCATTCTGAAAAACAAATGGTGATTAAGTGTATTGCAACATATATGTCTATATTCTTTTTCTACCTCCTTAGCCATAGTCATAAATTTGGCTTCTCCATGGTCAAAGTCTGAGATGCAAAGAAAGAGAATCGGACAACCGAACAGAATTCCTAAGATCCACCTTTTCACCATGTGATATATTTTATTTGCAGTGAGGATTTAATTGTAGTGATCAATAAAATGATAACAGAAAAAAATTCAAGGTAACAATCTGAATTAACAGATGATAAAGGAATAATAAAGGCAATATTATTTTTAACTTTCTTCATCTTGAAACTATCATCAGTGTCAAATATGGATCAGGAATTTTTGATAAACTGAATCTTTCCTGGTTATTTTAAGCAAATGTTGTGTATTTAAGGGTACTGTGCTATACCAAGTTTAACAGAACATGATTTTGATTCCTACTTACATTTCATTACTGCCTGCACTTCATAGACGGGCATGAGAATCAAGCAGCCATCAAAATTCTCAGGAAGTGGATTAGAGGAATCCCACATATGTAAAGTATTGGAAAGTTTGACAATCCGTTTTCTGCACTTAGGGATTTTCCATTCTGCAATTTCTTTTAGGGTGTATATCTGGTCATCTTCGCACTCGTAGAATTTTCCTTCTTGTGAAAGAGGCAAAGTAAAGGAATGAATCTGTTTATTTCTGACCAAGACACAGTTCACAGCCATTGTTCCATTGACCTCTTCCACCGAGTTGAAGGTGATCTGCTCACCATGTTTGATTGTGAAGTTTGCCAGTTTTATATCCTCAGGGCTGTAGAAACATGGATGGCCAAATCTTGTTGGCCCAATAGAGACTTTTCTAGTGATTTCTTCAATGCTGACATATGGAGTTTTATCTGCCACAACCTTATAAAGACCTAAGAGCAGAAAACTTGCATTATAAAAAGGGAAATATACAAAGCAAGTCACGCCAAATTTTAGACTGTGAGCGTAATAAAAATGGGGAGCAAAGCACATCAGACAATTCATAGATGACAGTTCAGTTGCTAGAAATCTGACTCTACAAAGATAATGGTATGGTTGCATGGTACAGGCAGCTGGCATTAACCCTTTCTACTCTGCATCTAATTTCTGACATCCAACATTTTCCTGTCCACAGTTAATTTTTTCTTTGCCACAGAATAAAGAAAAATCATCCTAAATTTTTATCTGTCTTCTCAGAAAGCCAACCTTTAAGAGCTAAATGCAGATATGGTACAAGGAAGAGCTACATTAAAGTGATCAGTGAATGCAGGATAAGTTTCTGCCTAAACATCAGTACTATATAACCTTCCACACACAGACTGGGGATTCCTAGACAAAGTATGCTTAAAGATACAACACAAATGAAAAAGTAGCACCTACAGATAAGAAAAAGCAAACAGATTTTAGCATATCTGATAGCTCAGTGCACCAGCTGGATTAATTCAAAGGCTGAGTGTTGCAGCACTCCAACCATCACAACGCAATTAAAATGTTGAAGTTCTGCAAAGCAGAAGCCGTATCTGAGCTTCCCTATCCCCTAGGGACATTATTATTTCATGTTAATCACGCCCCTTGGAGCTGTCTCATTAGGAGTTTGCATTGCAAGAAAAATGTGTACATTTCTATATTTGTGTGAGTGTTTTCATGAAGGAAGACGAACTGGAGGGTTTAGAAGACTAAAATGCAGGGCTTAGATGAACTGTGTGATTCAGCTGTCTTCTTCACAAGGTGTGAAGCATGGAATTATAGTGCAGCTTCCTGAGACAAAGACTCGCTTCTGAGTTTATATAACTGAGCATAGAGGTTATTGTTAGGCCAAGTTTGCTGACCACAACTTAACCAACAGCTACAGGTACAGTGATAAAGAAGCCAAGCTCCCTTGGAGATACTGCACCTTTTCTCCCTTTTATCTCCCAAAGCCAACTAGCAAAAATCCTATTAACCCACTGCTCCACACTTCTGCTCCTCTGGCTACCCAGAGGGCACTTTACTTTGGCTGTTAAGGAGGAAGTATGGGATGAGGAATCAAGGAGTCCTGGTTGGTACCACCAGAGACTTTCACAGCAGCTCCAAATCTCAAGAGTAGTTAGTTTAAGCCATGTCTATAAGGTTTTAAATCCAACTGCCTGCAGCCACTTAGTGTGGGAACTGGGTTCACACTAGCCATGACTCCCTTCTTGTGGGAACCAGAATGTGAGAAAAGTGCAAGATGTCCCAGCAAATACTGAAATCTCAGCAAGGTGGGATGCTGCAAAACACACAGTTGCTGCAAGATCTTGGGAAAAAACTCACTCCCTTCTTTACACCTTCCCTGATTGTGGGATTGTTTAAAAAATTAGATTAGGGGATTGCTTTGGTTAAAAATAAGCAATTTGCTTATTTCCTCCCCCACCTCTTCCCTTACTACTGACCACAATCAACACAACTGAGGGGCCTGCATGGAAGCAGGGTCTCCCTAAGATTGTATTCCTTAAAAAGAATATCAAACCATTACCTCCAACACAACAACCTTTTTTTTCCCTTTTTTTTTTGTTTGTTTTGTTTGTTTTGTTTTTCTTTTGGCTACAAAATAAATGTGATTCTGGCTTTACTGGAACAAAACCCACTACTTTCACCTCATAATTCTAGCACCATTCTTGTTAAAGGAAATGTTATTAAGATTCTGTCTGTTGAGTTGCTTTTAACTGAATTTATCACCCAATTGGGCATGTTTGGTTCTGGGTGTCCCATGAGGCCACTAGTAATTGTGGGAACTAGCAGCTCTGAGGGCCTGTTAGCAGCCTGAAGAGTAATAGTCTATTTGATCTTCTGCAGAAATAGTCACTAGTTGTGCCTATGTCACTGCTTTCTGCAGTTCTGTGCCTTCACAGTTGTCTGTAGGAAAGCCAGCTTTTCCTGTGTAAAATTAGTACCCCTGTGTACATACATCCTCTACATATACGTCCTTACAGCAGCACTGCAGGAAAAACTCCAGGCTTTTTCCTGGGCTGCAAGGAAGCCACATCCATGAATGTAGCTGCACAAGTACAAAGTACAACTGCAACACACTTTTCTTTCCCACTGGTAGTTGTAATATTTCTCATAGCCATTTTTAACACAATTATTAGCAAGGAAGCTATCCACCCCACTCCTAATCACTACTAAAGCTGTCAGTGCAGATGAACACAAACAGGCTCATCAGCATTTAGAAAGTAGCACAGTGTGGGAAGCACCAATGACAAACTGAAACTGTGGAAAAGACAGTATCCCTCAGTGTTCCAGTTTCTTGCTTTGCAAGCACATGATGGGTATCATCTCCTGGAAGTGCTGGGAGAAAGCAAATACAAATATTCTCAATTAAAAAATATATTCAAAGTAGTTGTGTCCCAAAGGCAGTAACTATGCTTACCCATCTGTGATACAGGAGCACGCATATTTTCCCTCACAAAACCTCCAGATTTGCATTAAAATGCCTCCATAAACTGTGCTTTAAAAACACTTCCAGTTGAAAATATTTTGCAATGTACAGGTACAAGGAACATTCTTTTCCTCTGTGAGTCTGACAGTAGTCTCAGGCTCTACTAATTTTGCTGGGACTACAGAGCTATTTGTAAGCCAGCTTTTTCAGCAGCAAACCAATGAGCATCCTGAATTAGAAAGCAGGTTTCACAGGAAGCATAATTATCCAATTTCATACAAAACTAGACAACTGATTATCCTCTTGGGCCCAGGTAGACTGACTTTGTCAAGGCTGGGAGCAGAGAAATCTTCACCTTCTGTTCTACTGGTGTTCTTAATTTTGGTAACAGAATGCTTGTTTAGGCAAGAGCCACGTGGCCTTGCATACTTAGCTTTGCATTGATGAGATTCCTGAAGTGGAGGCACCTAATAGCCACCTATGAGTGGTTATGACTATGCAAAGTTCCATATGCTTCTCTCTCTCTAGAAAATAAGTAAATATATATAAAGTTATTTTGGTATGTTGGGTGAAAGTGACTGTGGTTCCTATCTAACTCTCATAATCTGCCATGGTATCCTCTTATAAATGCTCTCTTTGCTACTATATGTAAACAAAACAAAACTAAAAGAATCCCAAACAGTATTATCTGGAACCACTCACAATCTTATTAAAATCATTATGAATCAAATTGCAAAACCAAATGTTTTCCAAACCTAAGATAACAAGGAAATCTCCAGGAGGAGGAGACATATGGTAAGTTTGAGATAGTAAAGTTTGGACATTTTGAGGTCAAAAAAAAATATTTTTGTATTTTTTCATAAATCATAAAATGAATAAATCAAATTCACTTAGACTTTCCTAAGAGATCTTGGTGGACTATTAAGGGGTAAAACAGATGGAAATAGCAAACCTGGAAAAAAGTCCATCTGGTTTATCAAGATCTGGCATTACTGCTCCTACAGATCTACTTTCTAAACATAATCTGGCCTACAATCAAAGTGCACTGATGCCCAATGGTTTTGGCTACACACATACAATTACTACAGGAATATATGTTCTTTTCCATGAAGCCTCTGTACTTAGTGAAATTTCACTAGGTGAAATGTCAGCCTAGCTACAACATTATAATTAATAAGACCCAAACCTAATCAGACCATCATTTTCAAGAGAAGTTTTACTAATTGATGTACAGATTGATAGCGAGTTTGAGAATTTGAGAAAATTATGGGAGACAAAACATAGCCTAAGGATCACAAGATTAAATGTGCTATGGGAAAGCATGTTTTGACAGAAGGATACTTTTATCACACTGTAGCCTTCTAGACTTCTGATTTTCGGTCTTAATTAGAGTCCTGAAGGAAAGGACTATCCTTTTTACCCTCTTTTCCTCACAGAAAACTGAGAAAACCAGTAGTTAGGCTTTCCTAGTAGAGCAGTAGGTAATCTTCAAGAAGAGCAGAAAGATCATCTGTCCCAGACTGCCAGTTTCTGTTCCCCAAGGTAATGCAAAAGACTGGGTAGAGCACAGTTCCTAACTTCTCTGGAGCTGACTTAATTGCTATCCCTCTTTTCCCTCACCTCCACCACCCACTCTCTACCCCCTCTGCTCCAGCATTCTCCTCTCCCCATCCTATTCCAAAGGCCAGCTCTACATCATCTCTTGTTCAGATGAGCCTCCTAGTTCCTAATCCCTGTTCTTCCACAGATGTGCTGCACAGTCACAGACGAGTCTTCTGTCTTGTGACTCGCAGAGGCTGAGCACTCAAAGGGGACAGTTGTGCTCAGTTATCTGTCAGACCACATAGGAACAAGCAGCGGCCAACAGCCAGGGACCTCATGAGAACAAGGTCAGTCCAGAAATATTTTTGCAGAAGAAGGAATATAACAGAATGAAATGTAATTGTTTGTGCTGGCACACAGTTCCGATGTTCTGCAAATTACCTGTCTGCTAATTTGCTAGCAGTGAAAATTGTAGTTCGAAATGTGGTTAGATGTAGCCGTTGAAGTGTCTAGAGTAACAGCAGATTTCTTTTTTTTTCACCCAGTGTATAAGCACAGAAAGAATAGCCTGGCCCTCTGAGGCATGAAAAAGAAAAAATTAGAATGAGGATAAAACAATGTAACACAGTTAGTGAACTTGCAGTTGCACTGGTTTCTCTAATGCAAAGGGCAGATTAGGCCTTTATCAAGGATCTGATTTGCCAGAGCAGAAAAAAAAGGAATTCTGTAGGCTGTAAATACATTCAGAAAGACAAAGATTAAGGCTCATTTAAAGCCAATGAGCACAGTTCTTCACTCACAGAGATGCTATCCTCAGAGTAACCTAAATAGGAGCATTGTTTATTTATGCTATCATGCACATGGTTAAAGGATACATGACCCCATTGCATACAAATGAAAACTCATGACAGAGGAATCGGAAAATAGTATCAAAGCAAAAGATTTCTCTGCATCAACACTGGCAAGAGAGCACCGCACGTACAATGTAAATACAGTGTCAGCCTCCTAAAGACCTGTGGATATTTTTATTGAATTAAGTCAATGTCAGTGTGGAAAAGATCATCTGTAATTCAGTTCTGTGCTTTGTTCAGGAGATAGGGGAAAGCCATGTTTCATGTATAATGTTTCAGTTAGAATTTAGCATGTGCACCTAATAAAGTGAAAAGGAAGGTCAAGAAGAAGCAGAGACGGGGAAATCTTGACTCTGCAGAGCAGAATAATTCTTCAGCTAAGAACTAAATTAGAGAAATGACAGATTTACATCTTACCAAATACCTCTTGAATGCATAAGAGTACATATACAGAGAGAAACAGGAAAGAGGTGCTCCCTGTTGGGCTAATAAGAAGTGTCATTATACACCTCTTCAGTGCTGCTATTCAGCAATACCTGTCACGTGGAGTATAATGATGATAAATTTCAGCAAAACGAACTCTGAATCTATTTTTCAAGTGAAATAACACAGTTTTCTAGAACACTGGTTGCGAGAGTTCGTAACTATGCATGCAAATTGTGATGATTAGATCAAATTTGCAAATGTGCTCAATAGGGCAACAACATCCAAATGCCAAGTTGTAAAAATGATCACTTGAATGCAAACAAATCCTGATTCACTAAGTTCAAGCATATGAAATCACAAGTCATTCTGTTCTAAAGACCAGACATCAACAAATGTAGGATTGCTTTTATCTCATCTGCCAATCAGGATTTAGAATATGACTTCCTATAGGTATATATATTTTAGAGATAGGAGAAATTTTAATAATAGTAAGGAAGCTTGGATTTCAAGAAAAATAAAATACCAAGTATCTTGAGAGTTCACAGGAGAGTCATATTTCAATGGGGGCCCCTGGTGGTCTAGTGGTTAGGTTGCAGCACTCTCATCGCTGCAACCCGGGTTCAATTCCCGGCCAGGGAAAAACTCCCCCAGGGCAGATGGAGCTCGTCAGCCCTGTAAGGCCATCCATCTAAGAGAAGGTCACTCTAAACAAACCTACGTCCTGAGGACCTCACTGCCACTGCCAAGCTTGCTCGGCCCCGGCAGATGAACCTCAGGATTAAAGGGTGGGCTCAGTTCAGCACACACTGTGTCTCACCTAAAAAATCCACTGCGCAGGCTTGAAGGGTTAATGACCTTTCCCAAATCTTCGCTCACGAAGACTGGCCATACATACATATTTCAATACCTCTACATAGCCACAGACAATTAAAATGTCTTTGATCCTACATTTGGGCCCTACTAGTGCTTGAAAATGGCATTCCAGAAAAAGTCTTTTGATAAGTGGTCATATAAATAGTTCTGATTCACTGAGAAAGAAATACGTGAAAGTAAATTGAACATCTACTTGAGGGGCAAATACGATATATATACAACTATTTCAGAGAGAAATCTGAAATAAAGTCATGGCAGAAGATATTTTTATATGGAAATCAGATAAAACATTGCATTCCCATGCACTTTTACATTTTATTTGCTTCAAGAAGCATGTCTTGTCTCCTTCTGCAGAAAAAGCACATACCAGTTTGGACGCTGTCATAACCTAAATCCTTGCATGCACACACTCACATGCTCAGCAAGACATTAGAGCATCAATGAAGTTATTAAGTCAAGCACTCAAACACCAGAAAACATTCATATCATGTTGCCCATGTAGCATTAACTTATCCTCCCATGTGCTTGCAGTACAATACAGTGCTAATTAAATGTTTACATATTTTTTTTCTATAAAACTGTAGTCTCATTCAGTTCATTAGCTAGACTGAAGGCAAAAGTGAGTCCTGGATGTGATCTCAGACTCTTGAAGTCTGCTGTGTCCTGTGCGTGCTCTGTCCCAGTGTTTCCTACCTGCAGGTGACCCATAACTTCTCTCCCAGACCTAAACAGACTCCTTCCCATATCCTACTGGCCTTATGCTGTTTTCCAGCCTGCTCATCTCCTCTCTTCGAGCAGCTCCCATTACCTCTGCTGCCTGCAAGAGTCTCAGTATAGGAAATTCCCTACTTATATATTTTCGTGTGTGGGTGAGATATTCCTCTGCTGCTGAAATCACCTGCACCTCTGTCTCCAGTCCCTGATCTTTGCATGGCAAGTCTTGATCCTTCTGTTCTGCTCTGAGGGGTCCAATCATTTTCCATCATTTTCCCAACCTAGTTTGTCGCCTCTACTTCCCACACATGGGATACTCACAGTCCATTACTTCTCCCTCTGCACTCCATTCATTTCCCTTTTTAACACTGCTGGGCCCTAATAGTAGAGGAATTGAGATGAGAGTAGAATGCAAAAATTAATAAATATAACGTGTGATGAACTAGGTACCCTGGGTTCAGTACTTGGCCAGCTCTCCCTAACAAGTCATCATGGACAGAGGAAAATATATTTCAAATAACAAGTCAGTATCACATGCCAAATTTCAAGTCTATCTTCCAAAATATGACTATATTTGGATTTATCTATAGAACAGTTAAAGTATTTTTTAAGGAGAAAAACACATAATTTCCCTCTAATCCTGTTTCCAGGCATGGAACAGCCACTTTGACTATTGGAATTAAAATAAATAATTAAAATAAAGGCAGAATGTAACAAAGTATTGAAAATATTACATCCAAAATAATAAAATACACATGTAGTAATGGTAAATAAATTATAGTTTGAGCACACAGCAAGGAAAATTTCAGCTCAGACGAAGTTCAGCAAAGTTGGAAGTAAATGAAAAGAAAATTTTTGTTGTAATTCTTAGACTGAGTGACTCCAAGTATAGAAAGCATTACTACCAAATATTATAACATTAAGCATTTCTATTCAGGTTTAAAAATGAACTGTAAGAGTTGAAATTTAAAAATTAGTTGATTGTGTCTTGTATCTTCTGATAAAACTGTGTCCTTGACAGCATCCAACTCAGCAGTCACAACCTCAAATATCAATCAAGACAGCAAATCAATAAAATGAACAAAGGTGATTACTCAGGACTATAATTCCTCAAAAACATGTTTGCATGAAATACTATACCGGGGAAATTTAGTGGTAATTCCACTTTGGTTGAAAACTGGCTGACTTCATTATTCTCACAGATACTTGCTATGAGCTTATTAATTTTGAAGCCAATAACTTTAATGACTTCTCCTGTTGACAGGCAGCATTCATTTCCAAACATCTCATAGATGGAGCCTAAAAAGAAATACAAAAAGAAAGAAAAACTTTATTCAGCTTTTTCTCACTTTGTCAAGAGTCTTGAGTGAAAGCAAAAACAATACTTAAACTATATAAAATAATACTTATCCTGTGATAATTGACATAATTTTAATTTTCTTCCTTAGGGTCACGAGAAAATCCATTTTGTGACTTCAGTGACCTCTATATCAGCTCTATATGTACACTGCTCTTAGATGCATGTAAGGAGAACAAGGTCTGAAGAATCTACATTTCTGAATAACCAGACCAAAATGTAACGAGGTAGAGCATAGGCTGAGTTGTCAGGAGTTGTCTTCTGAAATCAGCAGGCAATGAAGTTCGGGCAGACAAGGTGCCTCTGGACAGCACAGGGTGTAGGAAACAACAGACTACAGTAGAAGATAAAAACCCACAGACCCTAGAAAGTGCCCAGGGAGGGCAGGAGACATCAATGTGCAACCAGCATTTGAGCTTCCTGGAGTAACAGAAGACCTGAAGAAAGTACAAGAAATTGGAAAACTGGCAAATTAACCATGGCAACTTCTGTCCCATGCTGAAACAACCCTACTGATTCTGACCTGGCAGCAAAAAAATTCCTTTTTTTCTGTGATGTTCAGAACTTTGAGAACAGGAACAAGGCAATCCAGCCAAGCGTTTCAGCATTTCCTCAGCAAAACATGGAACTGCATCTTGCCCTGCCAAAAACAGCCTTCCCTTTTCCATTTGAGCTGTGGTCAAACCTTTGCTGTTTCAGAAGCAGGTGCAGGGGGAGAAGGATAACCAAAAGCCAAGTTAAGCAGAAGGCAAATTCTTCTTGGTCTCTTCAGGAGATTAGCAGAAGCTTTCAGGCATGGGATCAATTAACTATATATAAATGCAATGCGGCAGACACATGGTGTTCCATTTGTAGATAGAATTGCATTGAACACAGAACATCAGAAATGCTGACTTTAATGCTAGCTTCAATTCTACACATTTCCTCCCAAGAACTTACCAAAATCTGTCCTGAAGTGGTGTGGGCATACCCTTTCTGAAGTCTCATCTCAAAATTTCATTTCCCTTGAGTGAGAAACCTTGTTGTCATTTCCACTCTCAATGCATTGGTGAGTGCATTCATTTGCTCTCCTACTAACATTGTTCTGCTACTTAAAATACTTTTTCTCTCATTTCCATTTCTCCCTTCCCCAAGGGGTTTGCAATGTTAATTTTGCCCTTCTCTTTATCACCTCTGAGAAGATGGATTTTCCTTCTCACAATCACTCTAAGCCCCTTCTTGCATCTTGTTCAAAGTCACCTTTTTTCTTTTTTTTTTTTTAAACCTAGGTAACCAGAATGGTCTCAGGCAATGAGAGATATTTAAAACCTGACCTTTGGCTACATAGTTGTAATCAATAATTGAGTTGGCCTGTACTGAAATATTGCCATTGCCTGCAGAACTCACTTCCCACAGAGAGTAACACTCTTTACTTCACAGCTTTCCTTATAGTTGGTGGGGATAGGGGAGAAAAAGAAAAAAAGCAGTTAATTTTTTTTTGCCAGATGTCACATCAAAAAACCAATTATTAGCTGACTGATCTTCCTAATGTTCACTCAAGAACAATTCCAGCCTGGGCTAATAAGCATCTCTTACTGAGTCTGGGATATATTTATCGACTCCGCTGAAGCACTCGCAAGCGGCAAGCACTTGGCTATCACTTTGACCTCATTGGAAGTCATCGGGAGCCCAGCCTGAGCATAACTTACTCTCATTTTAGCCTAAACCCAAAGCCTCTGTAGAGCACCACAAAACAACAGGTTAGTGTGAGTACAGGAGAATGAGCGACAGTAATGACAGCAACTGGTTAAGTGTGCTCTATTGTGAACACACGTTCAGGCAAAACCATCATTTGCTTGTGCAATGCTCTCACAATTGAGATGGACACCAGAAGATCCCCAGCTGGTCCTCTAAAGAAGATGTAGGTTTTTAACCCTTTGGAGAAGGAATCTCAGATTTTAAAAAAAAAAAAAAAAAGTAAAAAACCATCTGTCAGATGCTTTTGACAGGCTGGATGAGACAACATCCCCTGGTTTCTCTTGCTAAGAACCCTACATAGGTTCAAGGGGCCTGCTGTACTTAGGCTCTAAACTCACCCAGTAGGTGAGTTGCACACCGGGATGAGGATTAACACAGAAATTCTAGATTACAATGACACACAAGTATCAACCAGAGCCAGGTGAAGAAACATGTTGTTTATGCATGCTTTCAACAATTCTGCTACTCAGCAGAAGAATAAGAAAGCTGCTGTCCTTTAACTGAAAAAGAACAATCTAGTATTCTTCTTGTAAGAATAGTGCAGAGTTGTTTGCACTCCCTCCAGTCCCTGAACAATTCAACATAGACTACCTCAGCTGTCTCCACTGGATATTGCTATAGCTACCATCACTAGGCTGGCTGCTGCTGTAATAAACACATGAGGAATTATTATACGTCTCATTGCTTTAGGTGAGCTCCATAGGATATTTTATGACAGTTGGAAAAGTGTATGTGCATTACTTATTTCATATCAGAGTGAGAGGGAGAGAAAGATTGAGTAGCTGTGAAGAGGGTAATATTCCCTTTGTGCTGAACCACCTCACTCCTCACATCAGACACAGTAGAGATTACAAGTAAACGAGGTATTATTAGATACAGAGAATCCCAAAGGACCCAGTGTGATGAGCTCTGCATTTCAGAAACATGGAAAGATGAGCAAAGAATTCCAATATTCTCACTTCTGAACAAATATTTGTGAAAACCTACTCAAAATGGGAGTTTGTGGCTTCTAGAGGCTTTTTTTCTTCAGCACAGATTTAGATCCAGATTCTCCAGATTACCTCACTTGAAAACAAGCTCCTAGAAGCCAGTTAACACATGAAAGCAACTACACAGACTAATTAGGGGCTTCAGGCACATTTGTTTTCATCTCTGCTAGACAGCCTTCGCAAGTGTCACCCCTGGACGTTCACTCACACACCAGCACTGTTCCTCCATAGGAGCACAGACACTGAACCATACAGGTTCGGTGTCCTCACCGGCTGCAGCTGGTTTGCTAACAACATGGTATCTGGAGTAGAGCTGTCCAAACTGTCCCCGAGGCAAAGAATCATAGAATCATCAAGGTTGGAAGAGACCTCTAAGATCATCAAGTCTAACCTTCAACTGAGCACCATCATGCCCGCTAATACATATTACGAAGTGCCATGTCTACTCACGTTTTTAATACCTCCAGGGATGGTGACTCCACCATTTCCCTGGGCAGCCTGTTCCAATGCTTAACTACTCTTTCAGTGAAGAAACTTTTCCTAATATCCAACACAAGCCTCCCCTGCACTACTTGAAGCCCTTTTCCCTTGTCCTTTTGCTAGTTACCTGGGGGAAGAGACCGACCCCCACATTGCCATAACCTCCTTTCAGGTAGTTTTAGAGAGCAATAAGGTCTCCCCTGAGACTTCTTTTCTCCTGACTAAACAACCTCAGCTCCCTCAGTCACTCCTCATAGGATTTATGTTCAAGCCCCCTCACCAGCTCTGTTGCCCTACTCTGGACATGCTCCAGCACCCCAAGATCTTTCTTGTCATTCATTTACCACAACTCTCTGGGTTTGGCCATCCAGCCAGTTTTTTAACCAGTGAAGAGTGTACCTGTTCAAGCCATGGGCTGCCAGCTTCTCCAAGACAATGCTGTGGGAGACAGTGTCAAAGGCTTCGCTGAAGTCTTGGTAGAAAACATCCACCGCCTTTCCCTCATCCACTAAATGGATCAGTTAAGGGGCTAAAGCTCTCAAAAAAATGGTGTGATTGAGGAATATTTAACCACTACTTCAGTTTGTAACTGCAACAGAGTGGTGCCACTGAAAAATAAAGAGGGGAGTCAGAGGAAAATTCTTTTTCAGACTATGGCTAATTCTGAGGGACTTACTACTTTTATCAGGTTTACTTTTCCTCAGACATAGTAGCTTAGCTACAAATTTTATGACAGAGTTTGAGAAGTCCTGCAAAATAAGAAGTATAAACAGCTTGAAAGAAAGTGAAAACATGGATCAATTAGTGATGGGTCTGAGGCTGAAGGTCCACTTGGGCAATACCCATAAGAAGCTTTTTGTGAATGGAACTTACAGGAAAAATAGGGCAAGACTATTTACAAGAACATGTAGTGACAGGACAAGGGGGAATGGGTTCAAATTGAAAGAGAGTAGGTTTAGATTAGATATTAGAAAGATTTGTTAGATATTACTGTGAGGATGGTGAGGCACTGGAATATGTTGCCCAGGGAAGCAGTGGATGCCCCATCCCTGAAGATGTTCAAGGCCAGGTTGGATGGGGCTGTGAGCAACGTCATTTAGTTAAACTCCTGCTCTGGCAGGGGCGTTGGAACTAGAAAATCTTCAAGGTCCCCTTCCAACCCAAAACATTCTAGGATTCTGTGATTCTATGATTCTATGAAAAGAGTTGTTCTACCAAACACTCAAAAAGAGATGATTTGATGACACAAAAATTAGCTTTTGACAAAGCACTCAAAATTTGCAAACCAGGAGAAAAACAGGTAAGTGGTGGCCTAGCACTGTGGAGATGGTAGACAATCTAAAACACTACAAGAAAAGGGTAAAATACACAAGGAAAGAAAATCTGCACTCATAAAAGAGAGAAAGTACCTAAGGCAGACAAGCATATGTAGTACAAGCTGGAGCCTACAAAAAGCATTACATGGAGCTGCAGGCTCTGCTCGAAACATCAAGGGCCAAGATAATGTATTCAGAAAAAAAAATGGATTATAAATGCCACAGTGAAAACCACAAAAGAATGTGCACAGAATAGATGAGCAGGGCAGCCATAGCACCTTACCTCTCAGAATATTGCATCAGAATGTAACATAGCATTGCTGTGGAAAACAAATGGATCATTCATCTAAGAGCATCCATTCTAGGAAAAATTGAGATGAAAATTAATACTTAAAGAAAAAAAAACATGGCTTTAATTTA